TTGTCTTATCTTTTCGACCTCTGTAAACATAACTCTAACAGTAATTACAGGGTCTACTACCCCCAATGCCCCCACTGCCCCTAGGTTAGAATCGCCTCCGCCAGATACCACTCCGCATGAGGACTTCGACGTCGATATCATCTGGGAGAACGTGGATATTCGTAGCGATTTTAGATCGATGCGTAAGAGTTCGCGGGGACCGATTGGGCGCATTCTGGTCGACTTTGGAAAAGTGCTGGAGAGTGGGATGTTTGAGGTGATTAGTGTGAATGCGAGTAAGCATATGTTCTGTGCGGTGGTGGCCTGTCAGAAGAATAGAGATGAGGGAGTCGATGATCTATTGTGGACTGTGCTCTAGGGACTGTTTGCGTGTTCTAATTTTCTGCGCTCTTGTGTTCGGTTGTTGTGGCTCTCTCGTTGGTAGTCATAAATATGATCTGCTTACATGAAGTATCTTTGATGCATACATGTTCGTCTTAACAACAACTACTTACTATATTCATAGCGCACGCCCGAAGGCGCCTACTATCAAGCGCAGTCTGCGCCCACTACGCTTCAGTTTTGCATATCGCTGCATCTTTTCGCAGCGCAAGCTTTGCGTATTTCCTTTATTCGTTGTGATGGTCTCGCTATCAGGTGCCTGTACGCATCTCGTGCAGGTGCTATCAAGCTGCTTGCTCAATGTCAGCCAAACAAGGCAGCAGTGTATATCATACTGCACGAGCAATCCCATTTGGTGGACAACTGCAACGGCTGAGTAACCAACAACACCATGCAGCACATACCCTTACCCCAAAACCCGACGTTCGGCTATCGAATGGTGCCTTGCCTGACTGATCAAGAGTACGACGGAGGAGATTTCGAAACGTTTCCCGCGCGACAAGGTTACTTCGACAGGACTGCTCTGGAATGGAAGAAGCTATTCGATGATCCTTCTGCAGAGTTCGTTGCCTTCATGCAGCTCTGGCAATACTTTGGACCACTATCTTCGGTGTTCGAGTTACCGGCTACGCAACTGTTTACTAAAGTTCGTGACAACGGAAGTAGGGTGGTCGACACATCCTATCTAACTATAATAATGAACTCCTACGTGGAAGATACCCCAGAAGGCTACGAAGTCCAGGACGGAGATCTAATCTCGCGCATGGATGATTGTACTAGGCTGCTGGCCGACTTAACCTTGGGAGGAGATCTACTGGTGACAACCACGACGGACAGCATATCACTGTGCAAGTTCATGACCATGTTCAAGTTTCCCAATCCCCTTCCACCCGAGATCTCCGATTCGATCCGGTTGCTCGAAGAGTTCCTCTTCAGTGTTGAATGGAACTATCCGTCCCCTTTCACACTTCAGGAGTGGAGAGAGCTGAACGTCCATGGCCCTAGGAATGAAATCACATGTGCGGCTATCGGGTGTGGTGGCGGAGTGTATGGGCAACGAATGCTAGACAGCGGTTGGTGTCCATCCCTCATACAAGACTATAGCAAGAAGATGAGGCTCACCGATTTCGTCTATATCGCAAACCTTCCAAAGCATGATACTCTCAGTCATGAGGCTTGCACTACCACGACCTGCTCCTACGCCTGTGTCGATGCATCTTCCTACCAAACCCGGCATGCTACAGGTTGCGGTGGTTGCTCTTTCATTGCTGCAGACATTGCAAAAATGAGCGCCATTTTGGAACAAGGCTCTTATCCTGTCGTTGACTTATTCGGTCCAATCACATCTGAAAACAAGCTTTGCTTGAGTTCTGTCGGATATCCCGGGCCAGCCGCTGGTCCATCGCATTCTTCGATTCCATATGTAGCCATATCGCACGTTTGGTCGGACGGCCTAGGCAACCCTCATGGGAACTCCATTCCGTATTGCCAGCTGAGCGATTTGCGCCGGCTAGTACGTAACGTTCCTCATCCACCTGAGTTGGCGCCGTATTCTTCAGTCTGGCTGGACACGATCTGCTGTCCAGTCGAAGATGGATCAGAAATACAGACAATGGCTATAACGAAGATGAAGGCTACATATGAGAATGCCTCGGCCGTCCTTGTTCTGGATTACTCACTGTTGACGCATCCAGTAGACAACCTCAGTGATCTAGAGATATTATGGCGGATCGCATGCAGCAAGTGGACCAGCCGATTATGGACCCTTCAAGAAGGCGTGCTGGCCCGGAGGATCTTCTTCCAATTCGCGGATGGTCCATATGACTTACAATCAGGGCTCGCCCGACTGGTGACGATTACAGACCCAGATATACATCTGATGATGGGGGAATCGATCGTATACCAGATTGAGCAGCTCCGCATCCCGATAAACTCCTTGGATCAGGCGAGCGCCCTGAAGACCTTGACCCACGCCTTATCCTGTCGATCTACAAGTGTACATTCGGATGAACCTCTGTGTTTAGCGAATTTGCTTCGCATCGACAGTTCAACAATAGCTCGGATTCCAGCATCCGATCGATTAGGCAGAATGTCGGCTTTTTGGGAACTTGCTTCACACATACCTCTGCAGCTCATCTTCGAGGATCGTAAGACACTATCTAGGCCAGGCTTTCAATGGGCTCCCGCGTCTCTACTTGGAGTCCAACGTCAAGGCATTTCTCCATTAGACAGAGTTTTCCGCACACCGAGAACAGACGCGGTTGCACAGAGAAGGGACGGGGGTCTATCGTTTCGCCTGCCAGGTTTCCTTGTGTGTACGAGTGGCACGAATGAAGTGCCTGCAAGCTTCCTCTTCAAAACTATCACAGGCAGATGGATCTCGGTTACAACATTCGACGATATCCCAATTCACCGCAGTAGTCCAAGGCCGTTAATGTTGATATGCATGACTGGTTTTCACGAGGCCGTACTCCATTCAACGCTGGGATTGGTGGTTGAGGAGATGGGTGACAGCGTCCATGGTCGGTATCATACACGCATTATCCAACGTGGCCATGTACGCATGTCGTGGGGGGGACGCGATGACCTATTGATGGGCAGTACGATGAATGCAACGATGGTGAACGACAAGGCTGTAGAGCTGGGTTCGACTAAATGGTGTTTGCAATAGTTGCAATCTCAGCTTCGTTATGCGTGTAAGAAACAGCTATGGTGGATATGTCCGTAGAAGAAGAATGTGGTGTTGTATTTGGTAAAATAAAGACGCGATGAACAGGTACAAGCAAGAAGCACAGGCCGCTTAGGCCGCGGACATCCCTGTCATGACGGCGCAGCTGTCAGTCAAGGTCCGCCATCGTCACCAACCCTCAACTGGAGTTTGCTGCTATTACAGTCGTCTTGGGGGCCAATTTCTAGCAGTCGCCATGCCGATTGACCGCCGTACCAGATGAGCTGCCTACGAACCCGCAGCCCGCGCCGCCCAGCCTCCCTACCATGTCCGCGTCGAACATCCGGGTATTCGTACAATGGAAGGACTCTACTGTGTTCGCCGGCGAAGACATAGAATGCACCATTACCTTCAAGAATGTCGCCCCGCCTGAGGGACGCGACCGCTCCCCGGTCCGAAGGCAGAACGGCTTCGCGACCGGCGGGGAGAGACAGCGCAAACTACCACCGGTTCACTCTTCGACGCGCCCCTCGGTATCCCGCAATTCGTCCTTTGCCTCGCAGCTGCCGCCGTCACAGCTACGCGGACATCGCCCTGCTTTATCACTACATACGCCATCGACAGCGGGAGATCGCCGATCGTCTGTTGCGCCGAGCATCATCCATGCCAACAACACAGGCACACACAAGCATGGAAGATCCGTGTCAATTGTGTCTCTAGGGGCAGATGCGGGAACTGAAGCCAGCCACGAGAGAGGTATACCCATCAGACGCCCGGCAAGAGGGCACGGAAGATCAGCCAGTCTGCAGGTCGTGCCCGGCAGGCCAAACTCATATCCAAGTACGGACGACATGTACAATAGACGTCATTGGCTGACATGATAGCAGTCGCTTCACCAGGTCATAGATCAGCGACTCATCCATCTCCACTATCTGGCGAAGCGTCGTCTCCCCTAGCCCGCGACACCAACGACTTTGCCTTTCCTGCGCGTCAAAACAGGAGACGACCCGGTGTCACGACCACCCCAAGTACCCCAGCTCTTCCGACTACAGGGCGAAAACCGTCCAATTCCTTCTCCCAGAACTTCAAGTTCCCTGCCGCACCTCCGCCCGACGATGCCACCCATCCGCAGCCTGGTAGCAGTCCTACAAAGCAACCCATACACGTCCGGCGCAACTCCCCACAACCGCCACATGACTACCTACGGTCATCTGGAAGCCACAATCTCGAGGTGCTTTCACCTGTTGCGCGGATAATATCTGGGTCGAGCATGAATGACACCCCGCGTAGTAGTGGAGAGTTCTACTCGATGAGCAACAACTCCAACGAGACACTGGCTTCGGAATATGCGGCTCATCCCTCAGCGCGTCTACTACAGCGACCCATGCATCATCGGCGACCGTCACATTTGGCACCACCCAATAGACAGGCTTTGCCGGAGTCGATCATGATGGGCTATGCGCAGATAATGGGTTCTTTCACGCTGGACGGATCCCTGATCAACCAGGCACCTTTCGAAGAGGTAAAGAGGAAGGGAGTAGTAGGCGGCCAGGGCGGAGGTGGTGTAGTGGGTGTAGAGAAGACAAAACGCGAGAGTGGGCTCTTTGGCGCGCTCGGTTGGGGTAACATAGGAGAGTCGCTGGGTGGACTACTGGGCGCTTCAGAGCCCTCCAGTATCCGAGAGATGCGAGGCGTTGCCAGCTCCAAGACTGTGCCGCTCATCACCACCCCCCAGTCCATTCTGTTCGTCGATTTGCGGCTTGCGCCTGGCGAAAGCCGCAGCTACACGTACAGCTTTACAATACCCCGAGGTCTGCCACCTTCGCATAAGGGGCGGTCGATGAAGGTAGCATACAATCTCATCATTGGCACACAACGCGCGGGATCGACCAAAGAACAACAAGTGAAGCATGTGGACGTTCCGTTTCGGGTGTTTGGCAGTGTGAACAGTATGTCAAGTCTGAGGATACAGGTGTCGATGTGCTAATCCCTTACAGGCCGTGGCGAGATTCTTGGACATGATCTCATGTCTCCGTACATCATATTGCGCGATCAAGCTCGAACAGCCAGCATAGACCCCTCGTCGAGAGCAAAACTTTCACCTACAAAGAAGGGCGCTTCTTCGAGCAAGACGGAAGAGAATACTTTCAGCGACTTCCTTGAGTATGTCGACAATCTTCTCGATCGGCCTAGGCAGAATTCTAGCATGGGCTTGCTTTCACCTACTGGCACCATGCCCGGTCGCTCAACGATTGCTGAAGGGCCTCAGACCATGAAGGAGGCTATTGATACAGCCATCTTGCGCAGCAACTTGACAGGTGCTGCCAACCAGAGCGCCAATCGCTTTGAGATTGCTCGCAGCGGCCGCCGTGTCGCGGTCATTATGTTGGCGCGGCCCTCTTATCGGTTAGGCGAAACAATGTCTGCCGTAATCGACTTCACAGATTCACGCATTCCCTGTTACTCAATACAAATCTCACTGGAGACTTCAGAGAAGGTCGATCCGGCGATAGCGCTTCGTTCGAATGCGTCGATATACCGCGTCACGAAGAAAGTGCACGCATCATTTTCAGAGAATGCGCTGTTTGCGCAAAAGCTGGCCTTCTCACCGACGATACCACCCAACGCGACACCAGAATTCATTACCAGTGGCGTCAGTCTAGAGTGGAAACTCAGAATCGAGTTCATCACCCCGCGACTAACGCATGAGGACGGGGAGGAGACCTCATGGGATGATCTCTTGGAAGAGATATCTAGCGACGATCGAGGTGTCATATTAGCAGCGGCGCAACGATTACCCGCCGAGAGCTTTGAAGTGCAGGTACCAATACGGGTATACGGGGCTGTGAGCGGGGCGCCCGAAGCACCTGATGAACAGGGTCTTCCTGTATGAAGTTAGCCATACAAACGGCAGCCATTACCACCAGCTCCACGCTGAACCAAAACGCAACAATTGGGGCAGAGCACTGATCCTCCGCATCTCGCTACCCAGCTTCTCATCCGCCGCTTACCCTTAGGGGCCATTATAACCTTTTGTACATGACTAGGGATGTGTGGCATACATATTGGATATTGGGAAGGAAAAAGGGAGCGTGTTGGAAAGCACTTGTAGTATACCAGCTCGTCACTTGAGCAAGTCAGGGTTCTAGGGCACAGGGCCCATGGTCGGCAGTAATTTCATCTATCCATATTCATTCACGTCCCTTTGTTGTGCTATTCGGTTCAGGTGACACCCTGTAGGTGGAACCAGATACCCTCGCCCACGGCAGAACCATGTTTGACGCAACGAAAAATACCTTCTGCTTCCCCTTCCATCACTTTAAATATTTAAACTGTCCTCGCCTTTATTTATTTGTTACAAACTTCGAAGAAACACCAATACTTGCCTTACTCAAGATGACTTCCCTTTACAATACGGTCGGTTGGAAGACATCTTCCATGCAAGATCTAAAAGACCAAACCAAGAAACTACAGCGTAAAAGCGATTTGAGGAAACTGCAAAACACAATAAGAAATAGCATAAGCGAAGGCATTAGGGCTCAAACTCTCAAAGAGGGCATCAGTCTCAAGATCGAGAACGAAGACGGCCAAGTGTACCTCTCCCTTGCGCCCTCACAAACCAATCAGAACATCACTAACACATATATGCTATCCTAGTTTCTTCCGCCCAAACGGCACTTTAAAGTGCAATTCAGCACTAAACATCGAGCTGAAGAACAAAGGATTCAATGGCAAGATCTACGTGGGATCAGGCGCCTCAAGCTGGCCCACAGGTGGATGGGCCAAAGCGCTCGTGCTGGCAGGAACGGTATATCTGTACCGTAACGAACTACGCATCATCGGTCGAGGCATTCTGGCTGGAGCGAATCTAGCCATCGAGCGATGGGAACAACGTCAGCATCAGCAAGATGGTGATGTGAAAGGGAAAGAAGTCGAAGAGGAGAAAGAGCAAGGAAAGGAGGAGGAGAAGACATCTGTCACGCCCAGTGAAGAGAAAGGCATCAACCAAAATGCCTCCATATACCCTCCTCACCCACCACCCGTACAGCCACCCCACACTGTGTACGCATTTTCATGTGTGCGGTGTTCTAACCCAGAATCACCTTCACACCCAGCCCCATACGACAGCAGTGGATTCGATGCAGACATGGACACGCCAACCTCACCCCGGAGCCTACGTTGACGTTGGTTCACCTGCTTTGCAGGATGTTGATTTCACGTAGTCTGCAGATCTATTCGTTCTTTTTGTTTGTTTATATGACATGTGGACGTCAGCGAGGAAGAATCAGTGGTCTGTAGTGTAACGCGCGCAAGTGGCCATTGGCCATCGTAGACGACTTTAAAGACTTGTGGAGGAAGCAAGACGGGATACATATCACACAGCCCAACTCACTGCACAAACCACGAAAACAAAACTCAGCTCATAACCATATCATTGAAGTCATCATGTCTCGAAAAGTGTATGTAGATGTAATCGCAGTCCATCGCCAAGAAAGCCTTCTTCACAATCGAATCGAATCAGGCAGAAAGGTGTGTCCACGAAGCCCGATCATACTCGCCCGGGACCTTTATGCTGGTCGCTCACAATCCATCAATCATGCTCCCTGTGTTTCGTTCGTGTCGCTTACAATCCACCGGGTCCGGCAGCCGAGTGCGCGCTGGCTCCAGCACCGGGGCCCAGGGACGCATGTGTCGCCTCGCGGTGGGCTGCTTCGCGTGCCTCGCGCTCCTTGGTCTCGGAGGCGATTTGGTCTTCGGTCTTCTTGTTGCCTCGGGCGATGAGCTTCTCGAGGAGCCCGCCCTTCTTGGGCGTGTCGTGCTTGTCTGAGTCTTCGAATTCTTTTAGGTAGGCGACGCGCTCTGAGGGGGGCATCGAGGCGAGTTCAGAGTCGATTGAGTCGCGGTTCTCTGGGGGAGTGGGTTAGTTGTGGGTTGGGGTAAGGCTGAGGTTGAGAAGTCGGGAAGGCGCGATGTTGGATTGGTGATTCGCGAGGGATAGGTGTAGATTAGATCATCGAGAACTCGAAGCTTGACTTACCCTCGATAGTGCCGACATTACCAGCGCGGACATCGTCCTCGGCCGTCTTGTTCTTGCTGCTGCCAAGGTGGAGCTTCTCCTTGATCTTGTCCATTTTCAATTGATTGTTTTAGGGTGTGGGTTGGGGTATCGGGGTACGTGTGTACTGTTGACGTGGAGGAATAGCAGAGGCAGGAGTTAGGTGTTTGGTGTGTTGTCTAGGTCGGAGGAGGCGCGCGGGGATGAGGGGTGATGGTAGCTTCAGCCATGCGTGTCACCTACGTCATAGCTTCAACATAGTCCAGCTGCCAGCTGCCCTGTTGGAGGTGGATCTAGTCAAGCGCGATCCATGCACTTCATTACCAGGTTATGCAGCGAACGCCTTGTAGTGCCTTGGGATTTGGTCGTTCTTCTCCTTATGCTTGGGCTGCATCTGCCTACGTGGTGTCTGACATCAGCCTCACGAGCGGAACGCGTTGCGGGCACCCTGGGACGCTGCAGGTGGTAATTATGGCTCTAGCATTGGTGTCCCTGCGTCTCGTATTCGAATTTCGAGAATTAGCTCTTAGAATAGCCAGGAGCCATCTACATGATTACAGTGTGCGATACTCCAGTGGTAGACTTCCACAGACGTCCTTGCATAAAAAACGAAGCATGTACGCAGCTGGGACCACATACATCAAATTCATCATGGTCGATGTCTCCACTTCCCGGATGGAGCTCGTCAGTAGCCCACAGTTCCAACTTCGTGTTGCTACCCTTGTCATGACAATGCATGCCCTTCAGCCCTACGAGCCGATCACCCGGTAACTCTTGGCAGGTGAGTTCAGTCTGTAGAAACCAGCATTAATCTGCTGTGCACTGTCAGAACCCTTGGAAGCTTCTCCGAGTATCAAACGGCAACAGCATCGCTTGTTAAAGAAGTTCAGATGTCGTAGTTGGCGCGTGCAACGTTATCGGTGGTTGAATCGTATGCCTTTGAGAAAGATTATTATTATACTCGGTTTCGTGTGCTCGTAACCAAAGTCCCGCCCATTCCCAATCCACGAGTGGTATCTCTAGATGTACGCCAAATCCAAACGCCTTAGTATGACCGCCGCCCAGTATTCAATGCTGACCATTAATATTTGTGCTGAGGAAATTGGGGTGTCATTGGTGATACGCCAGAGCGTACTCCAAACTCGCCTGTCGCGTATCCGTCGTCGCTAGCTATGCCGCTCACACTGCGCCCTGTGCTGCTCTCGGCATCCGCTTCGCGTGGGCCAGGGTATTGCGGCAGCTGTACTTCTCGCCATCTAGGTGTGACTGGCATCATTGACTCGCCATGCAGCTCTTGTGGCTCATCCGCCATGCTGATAACTGTCTTCTGATCCTGCGGATACGCATGACCGACGAATTGCTCGTTGACAGGAGAGGCAAGCTCAGTCAACGGTGTCCCGTGGAGTTCCTGCGGGCCCACAGCTTTGTGCGGCTGGCTGCCAGCGAGAATGTCGGTGCCTGAACCAACCTCCGATATGTGCTTGCTTGCGAGTTCGTATCGTTGCTCTTTTTGCTGCTTGCCGCGACGCTTCCGGAAGAAAAATATACCAAGTGCGACCAGGGCGAGAGCGGCGATTGCTCCAATTACTATGCCGACAATGGCACCTACGCCGAGACCCGAGGATGAAGACGAAGCTGGCGTGGCAGTAGCATCACTCGGAGATTTGATGGTCATGACGTCTGATGCGGGCAGAGGATCAGGAAAGACTGCCTGCGCAACAGTAAAGTTCGCGCGCTCGTAGTCTACTATGAGATAGGCCTCTTGCAACAGCGTCCTGCCCAGTGCATATTGTGTCTCGTTCGCGGCGCGGCGGATCGGAAAGTAGTTCGTTGCGTTTGTGTAGTACGGGTACGAGGCTTGGAGGTCGAATGCCGCATACGGCAGCTCTATATTGGTGTAGTTTGTAGTCGTGTCTTCGAGGGAGTCGACGAGCTTGAACGTGAGGGTCGGGTTCTTGGATAGGAGTTCTTCGTGGATCGTGTCGTTGACAAGGTACAAATCTGTTTGAGGATCATAAGTCAGGCCGAAGGCTGTCTCGAACTCAGCACACACGTCCGCGGGTAGCCACAGATGCGGAACAGTAGAATCAATAACAGAGAAGTGTGCTCCAGAAGTCAGGGAGTAGGTGCCCTGCAGCGTGTTTGTAGCCATGATCGAGTCCACCCCGACCGTTAGGAGCCGGGAGGGGTCTTGTGAGAAGGTGAACGAGAAATCGTTCGCGCCGGTCTCAAACCGCGTCGCATCGTAGCCGCCCAATATCAGACTACCGAAAACAGATTTCAACCTGTACTTTGCGCCTGCCGTGTACGCATATGCAAAACTGGGAATCTTCTTGCTTTCGCGCAGCAGGTAGAGAAACGAGTCGACCGGCTGGCTCCCACTGTTGAAGCTGGACTTTGCCTGACCTAGGCCCAGAACTCCTAGATAATAGTCCGGGTCGGCAACGGCAGCGACAACCTGGCGCGTTAGCGACACAGAAGAGCTGCTGTCCGCGGCTGCTCCTAGAGTGACAGTATCCAGGCCAAACAATCCTCTCCCTGTGTAATTGAGCGCATCCTCCAAATCAACGTCGTATTGCCCAATCGCCGACCATGTTGTCGACGCGTCGACCTGGAAGCCGGTGCTTTGCGTGCTCTGGAAGACCTCTATTCCTCGTAGTTGTGGGCAATCTGTAGGGTCGACTCCCTCCAAACAACCTTCTGGCGCAATGACGTATGTGACACCTCCCTTTGTGCTGGGCAGTACACGAAAGTCTTGTCCTGGCGTTCCAACGCTTATCTTGAAGGTGCTCCAGCTCCCATCGGCACCGTCGAACTTATTTGAAGGTGGCACAACATACGGCTCCGGGGCCTCGGTAGCGCGCGGTGTGAGGCGCATGGTGTAGCGAGCGAATGGTAGTGAGGGTTGTGAGACGTCCCTACATGGACCTGGCAGCGATCGGTCGACGACTTAGAGGGTGCGAAGCGTGCAACACATAGCGGAATCGTCTTTCGGAGGACTTGGTGTGCCGGCTTGAGTCAGCTCAGCTACCGGGAATGCGGTTCCAGGGCCATCGGAAGCTTTCAAGGCCAGAGCGGTTCATGGGCGTTTTGCTCCAAGAACCCACTCCAACAACTGCGGGCGCCGCGTGACGATCGCCCACCCTAATTATTAGATTGGCATGGCAGTGCAGCCTGATTCGGTGACAGTAGCAGGGAAGTCCGGCTAGTCTCGAAGGTCAATCGAGCTGGATACGAGGGTATCATGGGAGAGGCGTATCCGTTGGCATGCTAAGGGGTAGCGCAACGTTAGTCATCATCCTGCCCAATGACGGAGCCCTGGAACGACTTCCCGCTGATCCTCTCAGCCTCCTTTCGACACCATCTCGGCCCAAGCGGCCACGTCTTGAGCGCCTTCGTCATGCGGTTCCAAGTTCCCTTGTAATGGCGCTCGACAAATGCATGCCAAAAGTCAACGGCGACCTCTCAGCCAGTCCACGGGTGTGTTTGCATGTCGCATCGGCTAAGGCACGCTGACATGTCACGTATCTCGCGCTATTTCGCCTGACATGGTCGTGTTGTTCTTGCCGAGAACCTGAGACGTAGCCCAGCAATCTCTTCACTTGGCCCTAAAGGGCAAACCCAGTAGTTCGTCACTCCAACCTCCAGGAGATCGGTTCAAGGCTGGATCGTTCTTGCGGGGCAGATCTCCTAGGTGATATAGGGTATGCCGATTGACACCAGGAGATCGGGACAAGCGTTGCATATGGCGCTACTGATAGCTAAGTTGTAGACTGCCACGGTTGCTGTTGAAGACAATTAATTGCAAGTCATGTCAGCATTAAGCTTGGTTCTAGGCGGACCTACGAGAGCATGCAAATCCAACTGATCAGCACGGCAGACGAGGGTCCACCGTCCAACGATGCCCTGGCGGTCATACGCGTCAACGGTATGTGCCTCGTGTTTCCGCTAAGCATGGCTATCGCTAGGGCCGTGCATGGATCGCAACCTGATCATGCGTCCGAACAGCCTTCATCGAATGGTTCGAATTCGCACTGTTTAGGGCAGAAACTGGCTGTTTTCGCTTTTGCGGTACTCTCTTACGTCCGCAACGTCTTGCTTGACCTTTACACTATCACTCGCTTGGTGTAGAAGGCTCACAGCAAGATGCGGAGATTCATCAGTCTTGTCGGGCCTGCACTGGTTGCGGCTGGCTCAGACGTCAATGGGTACAACAGGAGAGGTACGTCATTTTCCCCATCGAGATCATCTAGCTAACATACCCCAGATGGTATGCAGCGAGATTCGAATTGAAGGCATCGTACTAAACGTTTCTAGGCGAGGAGTTTGCAGTCACGACACTTTTGACCAACACTCAATCACATGATTCAACTGCGCCGCAAGCTTCATCTCTTTCTCCCGTCACCAGTCTAGATTGGGTTCATGAGGTGCACCCCTGGGACACACCCACACCATTTTCCCTTGTTCCTCCAAAGATACCTACCTCTCCTCCGGCTCCGGGTTCTACGAACGGCAGTAGTACCTTGGTTTCACCAATGACACCGGCAGTCGTTACATCTATTGCCTATGGACAATCGCCGCCATTCCCGAACATCACGTCAGTCGATAGCAACTCCCCGATACCTACTGGTGTGTGTACCGGATGTATCATCGCAGCGTATGGTCCCATTACCACGTCTTACAATCCTGGGGAGTTTTACAACCCATGGACCAGTATAGTGGTAACCGAGACAATTGTTACGGAGTATTCTACTTACTTGCACAACAATACTGTCGATACTGTCGTCACCGAGGAGCGGACTGTCAACCAAACGAAAACTCTTACCCTCGATGAGGGTCAAATAATTACACGCTCGACACCGACATTCACCATACAGCCAACGCCAGGTGTATTCTTCCACCTTGATGCAGGTCCAACTTATGTCATCTACAATCGGCTGTCTGGTGGAGTAGACAAATATCGGGAGGTATTTTTGCCACAGTATAATATGACAGCAGCAGAATGCTCGTCAAACGTCGCACCTTTAACGAGTTGGGCCCCTGCAAGAACGGCATCCGCAGACTGGAGTTACTTCATCGCAACCCACACTGGAAAACTTCCTCCAAGCCCAGGAAGGGATGAGCCCGTGCCTTTACCCTCCAAGCTAATTCAGTATCTTAAAAATGACACAGATATCCAAAGACAATTTCACGGCGCGGACATCGCTACGTGTAGTTACAGTAGACCGCCTCAATCGAACCTACGTCCATTGCCATCGGGAATCGCCGCACCGGCTGCACCACCTCTATCATCGCTTCCTATCTTCCTGTCGCCCTTGACAGGCACGTATCTCGCGACCAGTTTTGAGTCCACCTCAGTTCACGTCACGGTCCGGGGATGTTTGAGGTGTGAAGATACATCGATTAAGGACGCTGTGGACCCTACGGTGTCAGCCAAAATGGCAGATCCTACTCCCATAAGCCACGGCGACGACGATAGGCATGATGACAACTCCGCATCCCCATCACCCAACCAGCCCGATAGACCAGCCGACAATACTGCCAAGCCGACCCAGGGTGGTGGGAAGACTTCACCGAGCATTCCGGACGCGACCGCGACCAAGGACGTAACGATTGGGGGAGTGGTCCTCCCCATCAACACTCCCAAACCGACTCAGGCAAGGCCCGATAGCCCGAACGACGATAATCACGATGAGATTCCTCCCGTGATCATCATTGGAACCGTAACAATCACACGAGGACAAACGAAGACCATCAACGGCGTGCCCGTGGTTGTGCCTACAAATGGTGGAGGAACACAGATCGTTGTAGATGGCAGCACGGTTGCTCTCAATCCAGCTCCGACGCAAGCTCTCAATCCGGCTCCAACGCAAGGTTTACCCGTGCTCATTGTTGGTGGGGGGATCGTCACGCCAGATTCGAATGGAAATTATGTTCTGGGATCCGAGACGTTGAAGCCGGGCGGCCCTCCGATCACTGTTAACGGGAACACCGTCAGCATGGCGCCGGACGGCTGGGCTATCGTAAATGGTGCCACACAGACTATCGCAAACCTTCCGGCGCTTACCGGAGCCCCCGCTTTGACGGTCGGCAGTCAAGCCGTCTCAGTAACCGTTGTGGGAGGCTCAACAGTCTTTGTTGTCGCGCCTGGTCAGACGCTTAGTGCAGGAAGCACACTTGTCGTCGATGGCACGACCTACAGCATGCCGGCAGAGGGCCATGGGTCAACCCTTGTCGTCAACGGCCTGACTTCGATGTTGAATGCTGGACAATCAGCCATTACTCTCGACGGCGGGAGATCCATTACTGCGCAAGTCGTCAGCGGCACGACAGCCTACGTTCTCGCTCCTGACCAAACCCTCACACCTGGTGGCGTCCTCACGATCTCCGGGACCACATACTCCATGCCCACGAGTGCATCCGGTTCTGTCATCGTCGTCAACGGCGTTACATCCACTTTGGCTGCCGGTGAAGAGATCACCGCCGCACCAGCCTTGACCATCAATGGCGTGACGTATGCACACACTGTCCGAGACGGAACAACTGAGTACGTTCTGAACGACGGAACAACCCTCGTACCCGGATCATCTATAGAAATCGACGGAACTACCTACTCTCTAGACGAACAAGGTACAGCCCTAATCATCAACGGGCAAACCAGCACCATTCCGAAACTTCCAAAGAGCAACAGCGCGAGTACAACACATTCAGACTCCGCTTCTACAACGAGAAGTCGCGACGCTGGAGATTTGATAGCGAGCGGAATAGGCGAGACAAGTAAGGGAGTCGGACCATCCACACACACCAGCGGTTTGGACAAGTGGATTGAGAGTCTTGTTATTGGCGCGGCGGGATGGCTTACATTGCTACTGTAAGGAGGTTGGCCGCTGCAGGACTTGGAAAAAATTGGGTGGTAACGATTTGATGCATTATCATATAGCGTGGCGCTTGGTATTTTGGGTGGGAAATAGGGGTACATAACGACTTGGGCATATATTGGGAGGACTATGCTCGGCATTTGGGTGGAGCTGGGACCTTTTTGGTAGATATTGGTATAATGCGTAATGCTATTAATCTATATACTTGGTAAATCAACTATAAGATGTATGTGGCGGCACATGCGCGATGGTACGCTGTTCCACGCCGGTATGCTCAGGGTGTCCTTCAAACTCGTCCAAGACCTCCGCAGGTCCAAAAAGGATCTTCAAGATGGCGTACTAGTACACAAGATCCGTTTGTGGTACTAGACGATAGTACGGATGCAAGTCTTGGAAACTCAGACGTGAATGCCTCCGGCCTACTTCCCACCTTTCTTGAACAACTCCCATGCCTCGACCAAGCCTTGCTTAGTCTCATCCTGCTTCGCTCGCTGCTCATCACCAGTATCACCAACAGCAGCCAAACTGCCGTCGTATGCTTCGCCCGAGAACAGAACGCGCAAGTTCATCCAGACCGGAACGATCTTCGTGTCCGTACCCTTGACCTTCATCTTCTTGAACAGCTCTTTCGCCATCTCACCGCGCAGGCGCTGGACATAGTCCGCCCACTTCTCTTCAGCACCATTCCTAGTCCACGTCTTCCCGAAGCCTTTGCTAGTCGAGTCCATTTCCAGAATAAGAGTGAGGGAGACAAGACCGCGGTAGTAGTTCTTCATGACGTTGTATCCACCGCTTAACAACCAGTGTAGATCGTAGAAAGAACGGATCTTGATGTTGAGCTTGGTGACGAGACGCTGACATCCAGTGGGAAACAGCCTCACGCTGTAGTCGGGTGGCGGGCAGAGTTCGTTCGTCGGTCTAACGACCTCGAACATGTTTTTACCGTACAGTACGGCTTTGGCCTCGGCGAAGATCTCCTTGTTCGCATGGAGGATGTTGATGTTGGTGCGGCCGACGAGCGAGAAGCGGGTTTTGTGGCCGTCGACGTGGAGGTGGACGAGCGCGTACGCGATACCGGGGAGTAACTCGCGGCGCTCGGCATGAAGGAAAGCTTTCTTCTCGTCGTGGAACACGGTGTGCTTTTGACGGACGCATATCAGGCCGGGAACGACGAGGAGGTGCGAGTAGATGATGTTGCGAACGGAGATGGGGAGGTTCATGAATGGGAATGGTCCCTTGTCTGAAACGGGGCTGTCGATGGCGAGAGCAAGGGAAGCGAACGGGTCATGCTTCTCGAGAGCTGTGGGTTTGGCAGTGTACGAGTCTGCTGGAACGGGAGACGGGAGGTCGAGGTTGCTTGCGGTTGAGGTACTACCCTCGTCATCGCTCTTTTCGCGGATCTCGGTGTCGAAGGTCTCCTCTGGCTCGTCAAAGAAGACGTCGGGCGACTCTCCCTCGTTGAAGTTGATGGCGCGTCCTGTCTTGTTGGAACTGGCGTCAAGATACTCGACGTTGCTGAAACGAACGCGTTTAGCCATACCGCCGGTCGAAGGTGGTGTCATGAGGTACGATAGCGGAGGCGTCTGTGGTCGCTCGACTGACGGCTCCATATTGACTGCGGATCGCGATGGGTATGAGTAGGGTTGATATATGATGATTGATAGAGCAGTAAAGCAGGCAAGCTATCGGTAAAGGGACTGAATGAGGATGTGTGAAGGTAAGAGAGAGGTATAGCGGGCGCCAGGCGGGGCGTCTCCACAACAGCAAAGCTATGATGAGGTGAAGGTGAACGGTGATGGACGGCCGCCGCTCTTTTCGTGGGGGGCGACTAACATGTCGGTATAGTTACATATGGTAAGCAGTGGGTGAACAGAAAGATATGAGGGGGTATGGAATTGTTTTCGTGAGATTACAGGTTCTGTGGTGATGAATCGGATTGATCGCTGGACTACACGACCACGATAGCGAGCTGTTTGGAGGGGTAGGGATGACTTGAAAGAGGGCCTCGCCTGTTGCGCATCCATTTGGCTTCGAGAGCCCACATTTCAAAGTACCGCCATATAGTCGCTATCATAAGTTACAGTGCGGATCTAGGTGCTTGCGACTCTTCCAAGCTCCAAGAAATTGCTTGAAGGTGGGATGATACCTAGGTATCCACGTTGACCTCAACACACCGGCCTTCGGAGTTGAGTAACACAACTCAGCAACAAAGGCGACAAGTACTTATCCAAATAAAACAATGTAGGTCTCGAAGAGTGGATGAAGATGTTGATGGAGTTGCGCTGGTTGGGTGACATTGCAGGTCCCGCGACCCAATCGGTGCTAGCCGCAGCCAGTGCCGAGCCGGGCTCAGAAACCTCATCGCAGCATCCTCAACTGCACCCGCGCTCCTTAGCTGCCCCATCCCGCAATCCATCTCCCCTCTACCCACCATGTCTGCCGCTCGTGCCTTCAGCACCGCTTTCCGGGCGGGTGCGCCCCGCGCCCCAATGGCCGCCCGCTACGCTGCCACCCGAAGCTACGCTGCCGCCGCCGCCCCGACTGGCTCTGCCAACAAGCCCCCGGTTGCCCTCTTTGGCGTCGACGGAACCTACGCGAGCGCTCTGGTACGCTTTCCACGACTCCAATTGGCACTCTGGCGATGATACGAGGATGGAAAACGGGCCAATGGCTGGGGAGCAAGAGCTTGGCTAACAATTGTGGCAGTACACCGCGGCCTCCAAGACCAACGCCCTCGACCCCACCGCAAAGTCTCTCCAGGCTCTCCAGGGCGTTTTCCAGAAGGACGCCAAGCTTACCCAGATCCTCCACGCTCCCTCGCTCTCCGTCTCGGACAAGCAGCAGATCGTCCAGGAGCTCCAGAAGCACATTGGCGGCGCCGACAAGGACGGCATCGTCAAGAACTTCCTCGCCACACTCGCTGAGAACAACCGATTGGGCGTACTACAGGGTGTCGTAGAGAAGTTCGGTGTGCTCATGGGTGCGCACCGTGGTGAGGTCGAGCTGACCGTCACCAGCGCTGCGGTACGTTGATCCTGAGATGGGATGGGAGAACAGAGCCCAGTGATAAAGAAGGGAACTGTTGGAATTCAGAACTGACAAAGTGCAGCCCCTCGACAACAAGACCATCAGCCGCCTCGAGAACGCCATCAAGAACTCGCAATACGTCGCCAACGGCCAGACCCTCAAGGTCGTCCCCAAGGTCAACCCCGAGATCCGCGGTGGACTCATCGTCGAGATCGCCGACCGCACCATCGACAAGTCCGTCGCCGCAAAGATGGCCAAGATGAACAAGCTCCTCAAGGATACTTTGTAAATATAGAGCGAGAGCGCATGGCGATGGATGTGAGGGGTAGGCATGTGTATTCTAGATGAGTCTTGGAAAAGAGCAATTTACTACCGTCTACCACCTGGCGACGCGCCATGATCGAATGACGACTTTAGCTTGGATTTGTTAAGAAATATTTTGGAGTAGCTGATATTATACAGAAGACAGTCAACTATCGAGCTCGTGTTCCACCAACATGTGTAGGAATGAATGTGCTCTGCCAGCTCACCGGATACCGTCTCAATATTCCTAGAACCGACGAATGCCAGCTATCTACCGCGCTACAATACACTATCACATTGGCACAGCCCCCATGTCAACATAGAGAAAAGGTGAACACCCTGGGGTCTACGTCGATGTTAACACACCCACTTTGCGTGTACTCATCTTAATGTAGTCTGCAGACCCGTCCAGTATTTCCCTTGTATGAGGTGGCCCCTACCTATCACGCGAATCCCCAAGACGTCCACCGACGTATTGTTCTGTTCATACTTTGTTTTCCGGGTTGAAGTAACCAACTTTCTTCTAGTCGTCGAAGAATCCTGGAAAACGCACGCGTATGCTCGGTAGCACACACGGCTCATCTCCATTGGCCGCAGCCCACGCAGCAGCATCGTATGGCTTCGGAACCAGCCATTTGTCCCATCCACGCTTCTCATACAAAGCTTTGGCCTCCAAAGTTTTGACTAGGAAGGCATAATACTTTTCTAATAGCTCTTTGAGGCGTTCTAGGGTATGTACCTCTTCGGTGGTTTCCTTTCCGGGACCTTCGTAGACAGGTTCGATCTGCGGGGAAGTTAGTATGCTTCAAAAGTTGTTGCAATGTCAAATACTGTTTTTGAAGGGGTTGGATGACATGCGAAGGTTATCGCATACTTACAATCATCAGAGGGAATTTCATAAGGGAAATAGGTGTCTGTTCTATCTCGCGGATGTAGAGGGTTCGTTGGTAAGGAAATCCCTCAAGTGTGGACGCTGACGTTGCAGTCGTATTTGGCGACATTGTAGTGTGCTTGGTTGATCGTGAATGCGTGCGGTAAATGGTATAGTTCTGGGAATGAAGAGAAAGTACGCAGGGTTCTTCATGGCTTATATACGATGTTCGCAGTGAATATTTGTCTCAATTCTGACGATACGTGGTTGAGGATATCTGAACTATGGTTCACCACCACAGCGCGGTTTAGCCACTTGGCAAGACAGCGGCGAAGCACTTCCAACCACGGACGATAGTAGGTGCACTATTTAATTTTCGATAAAAAGGTCTCATTCGATTGGGTATAATATCGCACTGCTCAAAAACGACGAATAGCAAGAAAAACATATCAAACTGCACCAAAAAACTGCAACCTCCTCCTCAGCCTGGACACAGCCTTCTTCACCCGACTCTTCCTCCTCCACCTCCTCGCACCTAGTTTCACTGTAAAAGAACGCCCATCGCCTCCATACACTACTTCAGTCTCTTCCCTTTCCAGCCATTTCGCGTAGTCTTCGGAATCCGAAGAGTCCGAAAAGTGTGCATGGTCGACAGCGAGACCGCCTGTACACACTAGTTCTCCGTCGACGAAATGGGAGGATAAGGATGTGGGGTAGTCGTCTGTGAAGGGATTTGATGGGGATTTGTCGTTTGCAGTGGATAGGTCTACTACGCTGTCGTTTCTTTGTGGCGATGAAGAGGTTGTTGTGGGTATGTCGGACGCAGCATCCCCGTAGTGTGTCTTGAGCAGGGTTTCCAGCTCGCTTTGGGAGGAAATGAGGGTTTTGCTGCTGGTGTCGTTGGTTGCCTGTTTGTGCTTGTCAGATAACACCTCTTTCATATTGCGGCTTCTCAGGTACGAAGGAGTATACTCACAATGAGAATGGGGAAGCGCAGACGAGTGTCATCGAATCCTGGTGCCAAAGTGGCGATGTGCCAGGTTTTTGGGTTGCGCAGTCGTTGCGCGGGCATATTGCTGGCAGTGCTTTCGGAGGAATACCGATTTGAAGGCATGATTCGTTTGCCGTAGTGTAGCTAAGAGTAGGAGGTTGAGTTGGTATGCAAGATGGGGACCGAAAAGGATATTTCAGAGATAGAAAGAAACGCATGCCACATAATTACTATACGTGTCTCTAACATGACTCCCTACTGTCGTATTGCTAACTGTAGTTCACTCATAGGCTCACGTGTAGGCAGACGAATGGAAGGACCATGGTTTTGAAGAGGAAAAGTGGATCAGCTCGTGACGTGTATCACGATGTCGCTAAGGAGTGGAAAATCAGGCGAACGGCATCATGGGATTGCGCATGGGATCGCCATAGTCAGGATGGCGAAAATAGGGATGTAGCGATGAAACACTTTGGATATAACAATTTGAAATAGAATGTGCGTGTGTGAAGACTGATGCCTAACTGCCCTCAAATGCCCGACCGACCGAATTAAGCTTGCCAAACATACTCTATGCCAACGCAAGGCTCGACGCCCACCTTCTCGTCGACATCTATGACGGAGTCGCCATCTTCGTTATCTTCATCGCAGACAGTGTTCCTGGCAAAGCCGTCTGCATCTTCCATGATGATGTCCAAAGCCACCTCCTCGTCCCTATCCCCGTCATCGATACGCGAACAGTCCTCACTCCCCTCACACCCACACATATCATCCCACTCCTTCTCCCACGGCCCCAACCCGTCAAAAATGCTAACAGGGCTAACCCGCAACTTCTCCCGGGCTTCTTTGCCCGACCTGCCCCTCACTTCGAGGCGCAAGTTCGCTACATCAACCGAGCTGTTGACGATTGGATTAACCTCGACGCCGTCATCCATGACTGTGGTTCCGATCTAGTGAGTAGGTGTTAGCAAGTTTCCACCGTAGTTTGACGATTGAGAGGGCAACTAACGATTTGTGCGGGATAGGAAGCGATGAAGTCTTTATCGGGTTGCCATCCTACTAGTATGCCGGTGATGTGGTATTGTGGTAGGGCTTTTTCTTGTTGCCCTAGCTTGCGGTCGTCGGAGTCGTCGTCAGAGTCGAAAAGCGTCTCGGAGTCCGTATCGCACTCCGTGTCGGACGTAGCGCGAGAGAGGGTTGAGAAGACTCCCTGGGTCTCAGCCGGTTTTGTTGTGAACTGCATGGATACGGTGTAGTAGGTTAGGGCAGTCGTGTGACTTATAGAAACTCGCGGTGAGGATGTGTAGGCTTCTAAGAGGAAAAGTTCGAGATGAATGCATACTATAGATAGCTGAAGTTAAACCGTGGTTCCGTTTCTGAAATTATATCATTATTGCTCACTTATCGTAACGCGCCAACGAGACCGAGAATGTTTCCAAGAGTGGGGTGCGAAAGCTGGAGTCATAGGATGCAGAGTCGATATAGTTGGATTTCACTGCAGCTTGCAGTAATTTCTGCCATGGTTCACTTGCCAGCGACACAGACTCACCTCAACAGCCATGCCTAAGAAACCAGCGATACAGATACCTCCAGAATCACTCACACTAGTCGCGCCCAGGCTGAATTCCCTATCCTCTTTCGGCACATTGTCTGTAATCTCGGCAAAGGTGCTGACATAGACCAGCCCACCTAATAGACCTTCCCAGAAAATGATTACGCAAACGATGTAATAGCTCGGGATGAAATTGAACATGGCGTGCAACGCGAGGACAATGAGGTTGGCGACTTGAAGAAATGACGGGACGTAGAGGTGGTGTATGCGTATGAAGGGTGTGGAGGATCGCGAGATAAAGACACCGACCTGGTAGATAGCGCCATAGGTGCTATAGAAGGAGCGGTATTCGTCGAAAGGAGAGGATTCGAGAGGGAAGAGCAGAGTGGGTGCGACGCCCTGGTTGATAGTGTACTCGGCGATGTAGACAAGAAGGAGGGGCAGCATACTGTGATGCGTTAGTCTGGAGTGGATGAGATTTCAAGGATCGGGCTTACTATGGGAAGAACAGGCCTCGCGCGCGGTTGAGGTTTGCGCGAAAGCTACTCAGCGCACTATTAGCACCGGTGTTAGTGATAGAGGGGAAACTGCGCCCTGAAGCCGAGTGCATGGAGGAAGACAACAGGTCGTCTTGTTCCTGCGCCGGGCCTACTTCCTCTTCCTCATCGTCCCCATGGTCATCGATGGCTTCATAGTCGCCTTGTTTCTGGATGCCAGCGCGCAGCGGGCCGAGTGGAAGGATAATGAAGAAGCTCAGCACCATGATTTGCGGCAAGAAGGAAAAGACGAGTAGACTTGTACGAGGGGTGATGCCGAGCGTGTTGGTCGCAATGGCGTAGGCTCCAGCACCAATCAAGCCGGCGCCTCCCGTGCCCGAGCCCCAGGAAGCCAGAGCAAAGTGGCCGTAGTAATGTGTCAGGCCAAGGAAGCTCAGTTCGCCAGCTCCACTGCTCAGACTGGCAAGCATCACTCCGCACATCTTGATGGCGATGGTCCCCGAGTCCTGCAGTGGAGGCGTGAGGGCGATGATGAGCATGCCGCATACGGAGAGAGCGACGAATATGACGATGCGCACATTGTAGGGGATCTTGTGGATAAAGTACGGGGCGCACAATTTGGCGAGGAACGAGGGAATGACATCGGCGAGGAGCACGACGCCTTTGGGGACATTTGGGCCGACGAGGTCGAGGGCGGCGGAGAGGATGATTACGTAGAGCACGTTGTTAATGAGGCCTGGGCGTGTTAGTCGCGGTGGAGCGGACAGTGTTGGTGCCCCTCTTTGGGGGGTTCAGGTGCATGCATACCGAACAACCAGAAGGCGGCGCACACGCGTGGGTCGGCGCCGTGGAACACAGCCTTGAGGCGCGCACGGTAGACGGCCCAGGAAGACGCGGGAGAGCCAGGCATGGGGAGAAGCGGCATAGGATGCAGAGGCTGGTGTTACTTCACATATCGCAGGTTTGGGGGTGAAAGCTACGGGCACGTGTCACGCGCCTCAGATGACGAGGGGCAGCTGCTGGCTGTACCGGTGTTGATGGCTGGGCTGGACTCGGACATGGATGGGTGCACCTGCCGATCGGGCTTGGCGCGAGGCGGTCAACTGGAAGGAACGATTCAGGAACGGGCTGCATGGGAACGGGCGTCGCATGTTCCGACGAGCATGGGTATTTCTTTTTGTGCGCAGAGCGGGCAGTCTGGGCGGGGCTACGACGAACTATGGCCAGGGGCCCTCTGGTATACGCATCATCATGCGCCTGAGGGCTTTGAGGCGAGCAAACGTCCTGTGGCCGTGTGGGCGTGTAGGCGCTTTGTGGGAAGCAGCCCTATCACATCGCCAGTGCCTGCCCTCTAGCCGGGCTCTCGCTTTTGTCGCTGCATGCGGGGCTGCGCTAGAGTCCTACAGGGATCGTGGCGCTTGGTCCCATTGCGCCTTCTCGTTTCCTCGCATGCTCGAGGCTTCTTTTCTTCTGCAATACTGCTGCTCGCTCTGGGCCGCACCCCTCCACACGACGACGACTATTGTACTCCCCATACTTGGCTAGCGAGCGGGAACGTATACAGCTATCCCGTACTTGCGACACTTTCATCCTCACCACCTCTCCGATGAGCCCAAGCCGACTATGGACCGCCCGCCGCCCTACCAACGACCACCAGATCGCCCTATGAACTACCACCCGCAGACGACGCAAGCCTACCCAGGCCACCCGCCAGCCTCACAACCACAACCGCAACAGCCACTCCACGCTCCGTATGCTGTCGACCCGTACTCGATGCCCCGGCGCGACCCATTCTTTCCTTCGGGACCACAACACGTTCGACGCAGTAGTCAAGGACTACCGGCTGGTAATAATGCGCCGCAAGGCCAGAATGAAGGACAAGGGCAGGGTGGCTGGTCAAGCACAGGTACGGGCTACCATTTCCACAAACGTCTTGGAGAACACATCTGCGCCGTATGCACTGGGGACGGAGGGTCTGTGTAGCCTGGACATGCAAGTGTACAATTTTTGTAGCTCTCACCAGTTCAAAAAAGGTGCTCAAGTCATCCAGGCTGCATTTTGACCTGTATGTCTCAAGTCTGTGGCACCGCTCGCGTGGCTGTCTGGCGTTCGAGGAACAGGCAAGAGACGGTAGTGGGAAGGCATTGCCTGCATGGATTGCTGCATGACACGTCAATTGCGAAAAAGCACTTCACCGCCTGTCGTCTTCATATCGACGCAGGCAAATGCAGGCAGTCTTTCCCTACTAGTGTCGCCATGCCATCCCGAGCCACACCAACATCTGCGTTCTCAACGGTGCGCGCCATTTGTCGGTGGAGATGGCATGGGTCTGGCGAATTCTATGGCGCACTCCGCAGATGTGGCTCCTAGCTAATGCACGATCCGCGGGCCTCTAAACCTCTTTCGAAAAGTCGCGACTCGCCGTCCGAGCTTGTGCTGATCCATGTCTTTAGCGCGACCGATACACTACGAGACTCATCACTCCCAGTCGCACCCTCCACCGCAAATGTCCACTTCCAACAACCCTCCAGCCCCGCCGCCCTATAGCTTCGATGCTGCGCGCGCCTCGTCGCTGAACGCTGCCAGCTCCCCGAACCCCTATGGTACAGCCCCGCTGCCAAAAGCAATGGTCAAGCTTTGTCCCAAACTAACTCTCCCCCAGGCCCGTCTCACGAACCTCCACCTCCACCATCCTTCGCGCGGCCCCAAATGCCTCCTCCATCGTCCCCCACACAGCAGCATCTCCATGCATCCCAGTCGCAGCGTCCACAATACACCTCCAACTTTGGCGCCAACAGAGAGCTTCCTGGCCTAGGTCAGGCGTTGCGACCGGGAAGCAGCATGTCCATCTCATCTCTTATCGGCGGCGGCGGTGACACAGGTGCGCTCAACCAAACAGCGCAATCACAGCCCTCGCCTCCCACCAACGCCCCAGTACCCAACGGCCACAGCATGCAGCCACCTTCGCCTCGACGTGGCCTGCCCGCTGGTTCACGGTCGGATTTCCCTCTGTTTCGCCGTCAACCCACCCCAGAACGCAACATGTACGGCAGCAATACCTCGCGACCATCTGAAGGCCACGCCTTCTCGGCCGGCTCACCCAGACAGTCCTACAGCAACCATGGCTCGCCTGATCCGGGCCGCCAGTCGCTGCCACCAACGACACAACCCTACAAGCCCATGAACTTCGCCGGCCACCGCCCCTATGCGCAGGACACAGGTCGACAACCTGCCGCAAATGTCCCACCCCGACCGAATAGCCAACCGATGGGCCCTCTGGCAAACACCGAACAAGAGGGCAGATCTTCGTACGACGGGTTTCCAGGCCGGCGCAGCGCCTACGGGCCAAACGAGGAGCGGCGGCGCACACTGGGGGAGTCGCATCACGCAAGGCCCAATGCCGCAGAACTCTTAGCAGGCACAAACCACAATGCTTCTGAGAGGGATCGGCCCGTGACTGTTCACCCTGTGTCGCAGTCTGGCTTCAGTCCACCTCAGGCGCAGCGCAACATCTCTGGCTCATCCGAACCTCCACGCAGTCTATGGCGGCAGTCAGCGCCCACCGGTGCTGTTCATGAACCTCCCCATGACAGTCGCGCAGAGGAACCTCCGCCGATGCATCGCACCTATGGCCCATACCCCCCATCTATGCTGGGCGCTCCCCGATACGGCGCCCAAAGTTCAGAAGATATGCTGCGACGCAGTGTAGACCAGTTGGGCCATCGCGTAGTCGAGCAGTACCACGCTCCTCCTACTTCCGACCCCAACTCCCTCGAGCGACAGAGGACCGAGCCACTCGCACGTTCTCTATCCTCCAGCGGAAGATCGCTCTACGATCAGCCTTCCAGGATGGGCGAGGCCATGCAACACTCGAAATCGCACATTGGCTTTGGTTTGGAGGCGAGCAGACGAACGGGCAGAGCGTCTCCGCTTCCACAGGCTGTTCAAGGTGCCTCGGCGCAGCCCCTGTCCGTTGGCAAAGATCCTGGAATCAAGAGCGAATTCGGGCGCATGTTCTCCGGTCTCGGCAGCGGGCTGGGATCGACGACCCCATCGCGGGGAAGTCCCATGCCACAGAACGGCCAGGGCTCATTCGAATCGGACAACGGCGAAATGATGAGAAGAATCGGTTCCCAGCAAGGAAGGAAGCCGAAGCGAGTCAAGGATGAGGAGGGAATCTTCGACATCGAGAATGCTGATGGTAGAGGAACACCCGGTGCGCGAGGGACCAAACGGAACAAGCACCATCATCATCAGTGAGTTCCCTCATTGCCATACAAGATGCGTACTAACAGTATAGTCACCACCATCACCATCACCACCAACACAAGCCTGACGAAGACACGGCGATCCAACCAACCTCAACTACCATTAACGGGCGACACCCCAGTCTACCACAAGCTGGCCCAGGCCAATCAGTTCATCACCACCATCACATTGGAGGAAACCCTCATCACCATCATCACCACCACCACACCCCCCGACCTAACCTTCAGCCGTTGCAGCAAGTAACAAAGATCCTGACCAAGATCCACGACGTACAGCCTGTTCTCGACGATGCTGCGAAACGCCCTCGCAAACATCTTGGATCACAGCTGTACGATGCAAAGACAGAGCTGCCCAAGCCCAACTCATCGCTAGATGACCAGTTCGGATACGCCTCGAAACCTCAACGGCTGCCTCGTTTCGACGTCAATCCCATCAATTGCACCTTTACCATCAGAGTGCCGCGTTACTACCTGAAGCCACGACAACGCCAGCACGTCGTGTTAGAGAGGCATCTTTGGGGTGCGCGCGTGTACCGGGACGATTCAGATCCTATTGCTGCTGCGATCCACTCTGGATGGATCCGTGGTGAATGGGATGATACTGTCGATGTCACTATGCTCGACCCACGCATCACTGCGCCCAACGACCCAGCCGATGCCGCTGACGTTCTCACAAAGGTGCCAGCGGCCCCTGTGACACCACCCGCCGATATGGACTTGCAGATTGAGATACTCATCTTGCCGCAACTTCAGGAGTACACCGGTTCCGTCGAATATGGCATCTCGAGCAGGAAGAGCAAGGCTCATGAGGGTCTCAGCTTCATGATCAATAAGATTCGATGGGTTGAGGAAGGCATCGGCAGCCGAGGACAGGAACGAACAGCGGCGGCATTGAAGCGACGATTGGATGCCAGCGCGACTCTGCTTGCTTTGCAAAGGGGAATCGACAACACACACAGGGTCAACGGCATGACCAAACTGCATGCTTGAGATTTAGTTGGATGGAACAAGGTCCATGACATATAACGGCCGTCTGGAGTGTGATTTAGCATGGCATTTGTAGCGCAGGCTGATTTTAGCATTGCTAGATACCCGCATCTTTTATAGCTTGACTCTGGCGTAGGATTGCACATAGCGTCGGCGAATTCTGGGAAACGATGTAATGAGGAGTTGCACATGACATGAAAAAAGCTTTTACTTTTCGCATTATCTATCTGTGTTGATGAGTGCTTTTCCAACGGTACGCCCATGGCTGCAATGCGTTGTTATCAGGTCAGCCACACGTGGGGAGAGTGGTAACCAATCCCGCGGCGATCACACACCGCAGTACCAGAGCGATAGCGGCCTGGACGTACCCCGGGCTTGCGTGTACGCACCTTAAGCAAGAGCAGTCTATCCCATTTGCGTGGTGTGCATTTGATCCTTCAACCTCCAACGCCCAGGCGACAGATCGCGAGGTACACGATACTCTGGCAGCCCACTGCCCCGCCACGACGAAAGCTTACGTGACACCCCTCATCACAACGCGTACAATAACTGATGTCAACGATGCATCACCGGACTTACTCCATATCGACTGTAAGTAGTCTTTTTTCCTTGCTAGGATCTCCAGGATGCACCATTGTTTTTTTGCCGATTTACGACGACTGGCGCGCGACTACGACGATGTAAAAAAATTCGCTCCCATCCATCACGTCTTTCCGGCAATCGGCGGCTTTAGGCAGGCATGTTTCTGGACCCCCTAGCTATGCTGCTGGAGCCATTGTCGTCATACCGCAGAAGCAGGCGGCATCGTGGCACACGACCCGGAGAGCTCGTAGCAGCATGGCAACGGCTGAGAGCCTTGTAGCTGTCCTGCTGGTGCCCATTGCTGTAGGCAAGCACCAAGGAATGCGCATGGGCAGGCGCAAACGGCGCCCGTTGTTTGTGCTGTCACGACTGCCGGACATGTGGACACATTGGACTGCAGCCACACGTGCTATCGAATGAGAATCACCCGTTACATCTGCTCCACTGCGCCCGCTAGCCTGGAGCCGCAATCCGAACGCTTATTGCTCTGGCTTGTGAAAAGAAGGACGCCGTACCGAATGCGGGGGAATCATCGTCAATCAATCCATCTCCTCTCGCTTCTTGACTGCCGGGCCGACCTTACGACCCTGCAACACGACACTCGACGTCCATACACTTATTGCTTCACCTAACAGACGACTTCAGCCGTGCGACTCCACAGCCTTCTGTTGACCGCCTAGCATCTGCCCTTGCTGCATCGTTGATTAAAAGCCGCATTCTCGCTGCATCTCGGAATACCTTCGGCTAGATTTCCGATCCATATAACTTTTACTTCGCTTCGCCAGTCGCATCGTCACTGGACTTCAGGAAGCTGTACTTGCCGCATACAATGACGGACTCCAATGCCGACTCCAATGGATTCTATGCGCCCAATATGCGCGCCGTGCCTGCTGGCGACTTCGTCAGACCAAGCAGAAAGACTAACGGTGCTGGTGTACAGGCCGAAGACACGCGGATATGCGTCGTCATGGTAGGCTTGCCCGCGCGGGGCAAGAGTTTGATTGCACAGAAAGGTACGTTCCTCCTGTACGGTCTCGTATAAACACTAACGAGTTGCAACGCAGTGGTTCGCTACCTCCATTGGTTATCGATCAAATCCAAGACGTTCAACGTTGGCCAGTATCGTCGTACTGCGACCCCAAACCCCTCCGCCGAGTTCTTCGATACCTCCAACCCAGAAGGAGAGCGTCTCCGGAAAGCAGCCGCCGAAGCAGCTGTTAACGACATGTGCAAATGGTTTTCTGAGGGCAGGGGCTTGATCGCGATACTAGACGCCACAAACTCGACCAAGAGCCGGCGCAGGTGGATACAGGAGCGATGCGCTGCCGAGAACATCGAGACACTATTCGTGGAGTCAAAGTGTGACGACGAAGATCTCATCATGAGCAACATATTGGAAGTAAAGACGACATCTCCAGACTATGTCGGTCAAGACCCTGAAGAAGCTGCAGCGGATTTCCGCAACCGTATCCGGAACTACGAGAAGGTGTACCAGACCATAGACGAGGACGAGCGCGACCTCACATACGTCAAGCTCATCGACGTGGGCAAGCAAGTCATCATCAACCAGATTCAGGACTACCTCCAGAGTAGGGTCGTCTACTACTTGATGAATCTCCACATCAAGCCGCGCTCGATCTGGTTATCGCGAGTAAGTACATGTCGCAAACACGAGCTATGAAAACTAACCATCGCAGCACGGTGAATCCGAGTACAACCTCACTGGTCAAATTGGAGGAGACGCAAACCTGTCAGAGCGAGGAGATGCTTACGCGCATGCGCTACCCGGTCTGGTAGCGAAATCGGTCGGCGACGGTCGCAAACTTACTGTCTGGACCTCAACCTTGAAGCGAACGATCCAAACCGCACGATTCCTCACATTCGAGAAGTTGGAATGGAAAGCGCTCGACGAACTCGACTCCGGCGTCTGCGACGGTCTCACATACGCTCAAATCGAACAGAAGTTCCCCGAAGACTTCAAGCAACGCGACGAGGACAAATACAACTACCGTTACTTGGGTGGAGAGTCATATCGCGATGTTGTCATTCGTTTGGAGCCCATTATCATGGAGCTGGAGCGGAGCGAGAACATCTTGATCGTTACACACCAGGCCATCCTGAGGTGTATCTACGCATACTTCATGAACGTACCACAAGAGCAGAGCCCGTGGATGGAGGTCCCGCTACACACGTTGATAAAATTGACGCCCAAGGCGTACTCAACACAGGAAGAGAGACTGAAAGCCGACATACCGGCGGTCAGCACCTGGCGAGGTAAGGGCAGCAAGGCTGAGCATCAGCAGGCAAATGGCGGCACATAGCCTAACTCCTATCCAGCTCCCGGGGAAATCTGCGGCGCGCCTGCTCCCCTGGGAGCGGATGTTGGAAGAATCGTAACGAACTAGGCCAGTGCAAGTCTGGCTCGGCACTATAGACGGGCAAAGAAGGTTACCAGGGACGGCGTGTGTGTTAAGCATTGGGCATAGATTGGCATTTCAGCGTTTTGGTCACATCACTAGACGGCAATATCCAAGGTCGACGGTCAAGATGGAAAGGAGTCGACGTCTCTAAGCATAGCAGTAGCTACTAGATATCAATGTCAAAGATTATTCGATATCAGAACGGTTCTCTATCTACCCATATGCTCTGAATTTACGAAAAGCTGCGACGCAGCAGGACACAAAGCACTAACAAACAAGCACGTACTACCAGTCTTGGGAAGCATGATGGTAGTGCCTCGTCGCTGCCACCTTCCCATCTCAGCCTCCCCCGCGGACATTGACCATCATCGCAACCCCACCCAAACCCTGAGCTCCGACCGCATCGCACATACACAGCATCCTAACAGCACACCGGTTCTGTAAACACCTTGAATCCCGTCGCTCTCGCCTAGCCCCAGCAATGCGATCATGACATGGCCACCCCCCAACCCCGGCGGCGTAAACCTCCAGTTCATCGCCGAAGCGCAACAAATCACAAACAGCCACAACCAGCACCACGCGCACCAGCCTTCGTTCACTCACGCTACCGGCGGCCACGCACCCATCACCAACGACGAAATCGAATCAGAAGCCGCCTTCAACGCCCAGTTCACTGGACCCCCTACCACGTTAGACTACGATACACTCACCGGTGCTGGTTCCAGCAGCGGCGGATACGGCGCGCACCGTTTACATGGACAATCGCCACAAACAGGAGGAAGTGCTGGTGGTGGTAAGGCAGAGGCACCCAGTAAATCCACGCTAGAAACACGGAAGAGTATACAGGCACGGGGCAAGAATTGGAATTCTTTCTCTGGCGAAGCGCAGGGGAGGGCGTGGGAGGAGAGGCAGAAGAGGGATGAGGCGGTTAGTATACTAGAGAGTGAGGAGATGCTCATGTGGATTGCGGGGGTGAGGAATGAGGTATGTCCCGTCAACGATCACACAAGTTGGAGAGGAGATCGGTTGCTAATTCGTGGTGGATACAGAGTGTACCACAAACGCGCGCGTTTTACCGTAACATCGTCCTTGGTCTTGAACAACCGCCTGCGGATTGGAACGATGAGTGGGAGGTACAAGGTACTGGAAGTGGAGCTGCAGAAGGGCAGGGTATGGCTGGGAGTGGGAGTCCAGCGAGGAGTGGGAAGGGCAAAGAGAGGGATATCGCGAAGATGAGGAAGAGAGTTAGTTCGGGACAAGGACCTGCTTGAACGGAAGCTTGCACGTTGACCGTGAGATTATAAGGCGTTACTTTGGATTTAAGGCGGATCGCGTTATACCCCAGCATTTTGGTTTGGTTCATATGAGGAAAGCTTACAATTGCAAGACGTACAACATTACTATTTTGCGTTGCGTGACTGTTGCTTCCTTCCGTCTTATTCTCATTTGTGTTCCAAGATCATACATGGCCTTCGCCAAACGCCGTTTCTTTCTTAGGTGCTGAAGTCCAAGCCTTTGCCAGCCCAGGCCAGACCGAACCCAGAGAACGATTGATACCTTTTCATCAAAGGTCGCGGGAAATGCCAATGTCAAAGCCCATCTGTTGCCCCCCAACTTTCAACCGTATCTCTGAACGATATCTGCCAAACCGAAAATCGTACATCTCACATACCCTCCTCCATACCAACATTCCTCCACCAAGGCTTCCCGTCCTCGCCACTAGCCTTATCAGCAAACATATCTGCCGCATCACCAACCTGTCTCCTCTCACTAATTTCCCTGCTGACCTGACCCGACAGCTTGAGCTTCATCGCCTTGCTTGCCAGGAAAGGGTTGTACTTTCGCGAACCGTTACCTTGCGCCATTCCTCGGGATGACCGGATGAGTTCGCTCGACGTCCATCCGCCCCTCATGACGGGTAATTGCTATTGCAGAGGCTCTGAGGAGGAGGAGAGGCGGTTGAGGTGGAGGTAGACGTCTGTGCCGTATCTATAACCGATGTTGTTAGTGACGAGATTATCTTGGGGTACGATTGAGGAGGCTTACCCTTCCATGGAAATCAACTTCAAATCTCCTCCAAAGTAGCGTGCGTATAGCCTTGATATGGGTAACCCGTAACCGAATCCAGCCATGGGTGCTTTGAAATCGCTCTTGTTGAAGTCGGGGTCCAGGCTCGGTGTTTGGTCGACGGTCGTGTACATGTATGTCCATACCAGCGGGATCGATGATCGCGGGATACCGCCTCCTTCGTCCGAAATCTTAATCGTGATGTCCTCCTTGCCCTCTGCAACGATGACCTTGGTTACGGGGAACTCTTGTTTGTCCTGGCCATGTCTTTCCACCACAGCACGCAGCGAGTTCTTGAGAGTCTCGAAGAGCATATGCGACAAATGTCCTGGCACGTACATGAAGCTGATGTCCGGGTTGCATACAAGCTGGACCTTTGGCGCATCGAAGAGTCCATAGTGGTCCTCGCAGACGAATCGCGCATTCTCAATAGCCTCCTGTGCCAGTTCTTGGACATTGGTCTTTGTGCAGATTATACCGACGTAGTTGGGATCGTTTCGCGAGCGTTGGTCTGTGAGGGCGATGTGCTGGCCGATGAGCATACGGATACCGATACGCGACATGTAGAAACGGTCGAGGAAGGCTTGGATGTTGTGGTCGATCTGCATCCTTTGCCTCTTGCGCTTCCACTCAAGAATGCCCTGTGCGACCGTCGTAACGACGCTGTCGTGCCGCCTCTTGATCTTCTCCAATGTGTCTGCAAACTTGGTGTTGTATGCGCCCAGCTCTGGCGGCCATTCCTGTCCATCATCTGCGGCGGCATAGTATCTCCGGCTTGCGCCTTTTACTTCTTTTGTGATTGTGCCGCCGTTCCCGTTGCCATTGCCGTTACCGTTCGTCGTCGGTGCGGACCGGTATTGTCCTGTTTTGATGCTGGGGTTCTGCGTCGGCTTGCTCATCAGGTTCTTGTCGCCGGCTTTCTTCGCTGGTTTGAGGAGTCGCTCCTTGACCTCGCTCGAGAGGGTCGGCCGGGGCAGTTCGACGAGTTCCTGTCAGATGAGTCAACGCGCTCCAGCGAGAACCTTAGCAATACACACTTCGAATGACTGCGCATACCAGTCGCGCACTCTTTGGATCGATGGCATCTCATTGAGGCCATCTGGAAGTTCGTTGAGCTCTTCCACTCGGTGGGCTAACCGTATGGGCAGTTCTTCAGAAAGGAATTGTGACGCGCGGAAGAGGGTTCCCGTAGATGGCTTCTCTCCAAATTGTACCATCTGCCGTAAGGAGACACCTGGTGGTATGTCAGACGAATACTGTAAGTGACCATGCGTGCTGCATACCGGTTGCTGGAAAGTTGCTGTAGTGCTATCCAAATGTTAGCTACGACCGCGACTGTGCGACAGGCTCGCCCACCTTGATGGTGTCCATCAGCCTCTCGCTCCGTTTCCACGACATGATGCCAATTGTACAGGCCGAAACGGCCTTTGTCGCTGCGTGGTCGCCAAAGTGGTGCTGGTGATGGTGGTGTTCACTGTCGAGCTACCCGAAGCACAGTTCCCGCCCCACTATGACGCTAATTGGTCTCGCTGCTACAGGCCGAGGTAACGGCGCGTCTGGATGCTGGGGAGCGATTTGAGAAAGGGAAGAGTGAAGTGGAAGAGAGACGCATGTGCTCGTGTGCCCTATGACACAGACTAGATGGCTGATGTACACGGAGTCTTCCGGCGATGACACCACTGCGACGAGCACCTGCGCTTCCCCCACACTTGACCTGCTTTCACGTGGAGATGATGTGGAAAAGGCGCCACGAAGCCTCACGCTTTAACTACTGGCATCCCGCAGCTGACGAGACACAATGTGTCTAGTTTTTGGAGTCTCCATTGCTTTTACTACCCACGCTGTCTAGCGAAACGAGTTGTTGCCATTGCAAGTCTTCCGCAAGCATCCACGAGCTCCAGCCACACTATCCTCGGTTAGCTGTCGGAGAAAGCACCGGTAGAGCGCATGTTCCTGGCTGCATGTTCCTCAGGTCCGAGGATGCAAGGTGCTCGCTGCTCGCGTGAGTCGCTCCCTAGAGGCTAGCACTAGACTATTCTTCTAGTCTGGACATTTTGTGGAAATGCCGCTCAACGTGTCAGAAAATTTGCGATGTATGCAATTGGCTCATCATCAATCAGCTGGATGTCTGAGGTCTGAGATAAGAAACCGATGCTTTGACCAACTCTGCCGTCTCTGGAAGTAAATCGAAATGATTCACTATGGGTTGCACGATGTTGGCTACTTGTTCACGGAAGATGATGAGCGTATTGAATGATCGGTAGAGGAGATTTGGTATTCCGAAAGTGCAACTAAGTCCAAACAGGCTCTATGCCGCACCAAAGTCGAAAAGCGCCTTGAAATGATACACCTAACATAATCTACATGAAGGGGTATTGCGGTCTAACTGCGCTCACCGCCTCCGTCGTTCGTCTATCATCGATGATGGTACAATCCAAACAGTTTTTGGGTCGAAAAGGTATTATAGAAAGGTCATGGCGTGTCGATAGGATGGTATAAACGTTCGAGAGGTGATACGCTTATTTGGTCTCGTTCTGGAGGAAGGTGATCAAGTCGTTGCGGTCCTTGGGCTTCTTGAGACCACCGAAAGCCATCTTGGTTCCGGGAATGTACTTCTTGGGGTTCTCGAGGTACTCGAACTGCGCTTCGTCAGCATGCATGCCCACCACATAAGCGTCTTCTTGTGATGTAACGTACGAGAGTCTCGTTGCCCCACTCGACACCCTTCTGCTTGTTGGCGTCGGTGTATGAGAAACCCTCAACCTGGCCAGACTTGCGGCCGAAGAGACCGTGTAGGTTGGGGCCGATCTTGTTGCCCTCGCCCTCCTTCAGGGTGTGGCACTGAGCGCAGCGGGTCTGGAGGTTCGTTAGACTACGTTCGGGAGGCGTGGTCGATGGCGCTGAGGCTGGCTCGGTGTGTTCGTACCTTGAAGAGGTTGGCACCCTTCTTAGCATCGCCTGTGCAAAGTGTTAGTTGTATGTCGTGACAAAATTTCTTTGCCCAGCCAAACAATCCGCCACCGTCCGCCCTTCGTCGCAAAGCTGCCACCTTGCGCTCACCGCTTCTTGAGTTCTCAACTATTCGGACGGTACACCGGGAATAATTGATTTCTCATAGGAGTCGGATATTGGTATGCGCGCAGGCTCAATGGGTAGCAGACGATGGTCGACAAAGTGACAGACGGCCGATGACGTCTAACCGGTGTCAAGAAAACGTACCCTGCTCGAAACCCATTTTGAAGATGTGGTGGTGGTTGGGGTAAGATTAAGTGGAGGTGGAGGTGGAGTGGTGAAAGTTAATGTAACTCTAGTCGTGACTGCGAGGTTGTGAGAGAGAAAAGATGGCCAAGTAGGAGTTGAGAGGCTTGAGAGAGTTTTAAGAATCTTGCCGTTAGCCGCGACGAAATGACGGGCCCAGGGCCCTGACGCGAGCACGGGTCACGGGACTAGCCAATCAGGCGTCAGGTATAACTCAGTAGCAAAAAGTGCTCGGGTGGAACCGGTCCGGGATGGCAAACAGGAATCGCGATCAAATGGCGGTGCACTCGCCGCATCACGCCCTGTTCCTCAGCCAACTTGCCGTCGCTACTCGAAGTACTTTCACGCCACGCCGTCAATTGCGATTCAGACTATCTCGCAACTTACTCGGCAATCTTGCATGGAGCTTGCGGAATAATGCCGTCACCAAGTGCTGCGTTGGCTGCTGCGAGTCTTTGTAGCACTCGTGCTGCCGTCAATCATCGTGAAGAATTTCGCTCTTCTTTCCTCCGGTGGTAGAATAAGCAGCGTCTGGCCTATTTGGTTGCCCTGCAGGACGCTTCTTCCCTGCTTTCCCTGGCCCGAATTCGATATGTGAAGCCTGTACAAGGGTCCGCAAATCGATGTGACATGCCCACTAACCCGCGCACCTCCACGCACCTGGTTCCCTAACATGACGGGCCAGGGTCATGAATAACGTTCTCTGTTATCTGCACAGCAGCACATTACTATTTCAAGCGCCGGCCAGGATCGACACTATTCTGCCCTCTTTGCAAACAGCCTTCTAGTCTTGGTCAGTCGCACTTCAGCCCCAGCTCGACGGTTGACATCATCGTGCCCCGCCACACCTCGACCGACCGGATGGACCAGATTCCGGGCATTCTATACGCCGATGAGGACTTTACCACATGGCTGATACTCGGCGCCAGCAGAGGCATAGGGCTAGAGTTTGTCAGACAGCTGTTAACTAAGAATGAGCGCATCATCGCTACTGTGCGGGAGCCTTGGGCCGGTCATGCCAGCGGTCTGTGGGGACAAGCGGGGAGCGATCATGGCCGATGCCAAATGTACACATGCGACATATTGTCAGAGCAAAGCATAGAGGTGTGTGCTGTTGAAGATGGCCTTGTCTTTCCAGAGGGAAACTAACTGGCCATCCGCAGAAATTCGTTGCGCAACTGGCCATGATACCGAACCTGAAGATAGACTACGTCGTACTAAACGCAGGAGTGCTAAGATACCCAAACGTAAGTCCGACATTGTCGCCAGCATGCAAGGGAGCCGCACTAACCGATGTAGAGGGCCACTGAGCTGTGAGTCTCCCTTTACCGTTGCCGTTACGCCTTGCTGGTTATGGCTAAAGCGTGCATTTCCAATAAACGACAATCAATCTGAAGTGGCTGAAGTACTGGAAATTAATATTTTCTAGGTCTTTCGACGAGTTTGCCTTCCATTTGCATACCAACACCATTGGGCCCATCATCACAGCGCAAAAGTTGCTGAAAACAAACATACCAATTGGCACCATTGTCTTCATGTCTAGCGACTCGGGCTCGCAAGGTAACTTCCGGGAGATGGAGGACGGGTTCGCTGCATATGCTGCGTCAAAAGCTGCACTCAATATGGCAGTAAGGCACATGGCCGCCGAGTTGAAGAGAAAAGACGATGATACCATCATCTTGTGCATGCACCCGGGAGAAGTCGCAACAGACATGGCGAACGTTCAGCTACCGTGGGAAGTCCAGGGCATAATCACACCAGAGGAGTCAGTGATGAAGATGATCGAAGTGATCAAGAGCAAAGGCATACAGCACAGCGGCACTTTCTGGACGTATGAGAATAAGGTCAGTCCCTCACACCCCACCCGCGGATCAATTACTGACATCGGCTTAGCCGTACGTATGGTGACAACTGAACATACTCGCAATGTTTACGACTCTCATATCCTTGCATACCCTTCGCAAAATCTCCGCTAGGCAGTACCTATACCCACATACTAGAATGTATATGCATTGTTGTTTCATGACCTTTGCTACCGTTACCGTTCGAATGAATCTTTCATGCCCGTCGCCTCAGTCCAATTCCGTCCACTACAGCCTCCATCAAGCAATCTCGCCGACCATCCGACGAACTTCGTCCGTGTCCCAATCCAGCCTCTCAGAACCAACAGGTAAATCATAGTCGACCAGAACCCGCACCGGCCTAATTGGTTTCGCTTTTTCCTTCTCCATCCGACTCTTCTTCTGCGCGCGCCGTGCCGCCTCCATGATATCTCGTATCTTCCTATCGGACTCTGCGGCCACATACCTGCTGGCCATGTACGCCTGAGACTCTGATGCTGAGAGGCCAATCACACCAGCCTGTGTGATTACACTGTCTTCGCGTTTCTGTCGCTTCCGGTGGTGCAAGTCTTTGTCTTCGTCACGCTCACCCTCAATGATGACAAGAGTTTGGGACGAAGACTTGGTAGGTGGGGAAGACATGACCTTGTTGTTGGGCGCGGCACTGGCTTCCAGATACCTCCAGAATGAAGGGCAGCCGCATACACCGTCTTGTTCTGGGTTTCGGGGACACTTGCGTTTTGCCATCTTGGTGTCGGTGTGTGTTAGGTTTTGCCAAGTGTGAGCTCACACGGAGGTTGTGTTGTTATTGCGATCGAGATAGGTAAGGACAGAAGATAGAGACGAAGACGTGAACTTATATTTGATGAGGCTATGGTCAGTGGAGGTTGTCTGTGCGTGTACAACGGCGGTGACTTTACGCAACAACTTGAGGGTGAGTAGACCTCTTACTTTAGTAAAGCTAGATGAGAAGGTGAGGCAGGGCAGAAGTAATCGGTACCTTCACCTGGGTATATTCGTCGAACCTCGAGTCTAATAACAGAGCCCTTAACCCATCATACAAACTCTCTACAAGAATGTCTACCACAATCTCCCAACAATCCTTACCGCAATCTTAACCGCAACCAACGTACCCACCGCCAAAACCCCCACTCCAATCCCCAACGCCTTCAAATTCCTCATCTCATTGCTCAACGCCACTTTCTTTCTCTCCCCAATATTTCCCAAATGCGTCAACGTATCATACTGCGGCACATACTTGAAGTCAAACGACGTTTCCGTCCCCGCCAACCCCCACTTCGCCTTCACTATCAGCGTCCAGAAAATCTCTTTCGCACGGTCGATCCTCCTGCGATCTGCATTGGGAAACAGGCGGTATGTGTAGCAGTAGAAGATGAAGAAGAGACATTGGCCTGCCATCAGGGACCAGTAGTATGCGGAAACGCGTTTTAAGCCGAGGCGGTCACAGAGGGCGTTGCCGTTTAGCCAGCGGGCACTGGCGGTTAGCATGTCTGCGGATGAGAAAGTTGGGGGCTCTTCTTTCAACGCGTAGATGATGTTGTTGGCCATTGTTTTGGACATTTCGGACGGGTCGACTTCGTGGTAGAGGAGCGATTCCATGATGGCTTTGGCTTTGGTTGGGGTGGATAGCCATTCGTCGGGTGTGCCCATTAAGTAGCCGATGTAGCGCCACAGGGCTAGGTAGTCGTCGATTTCTTGTTTGCGGAGGAAGATGCCTTGGCGGGGGAAGCTAAGATAGATCAGAGTTGATGAGAAAGTTCCGATTGTGGCTATTTGGTCCAGGTCATTGATTGGTATTCCCCATTCTTCCACGTTGAAGTAGCTTGGGCGTTCTTTTGCGAGTTTCATAATGCGCTGCCGGACGGCGGCGTGTAGGAAGCGGACGCGTATCGATGAGGCGAAACCTTCTCCACCCGGTTTGAGTCCATCCAGTGTCCGTGTGCATTGGAGAATGTGCTGTGTAGTTTCAAAGAGTCTGCCTCTTGCTACCTTTGTGCTGAAGCCTCCAGTTCTCGCTAATGTCTCCACCACTCGCGCAGCGCCCATGCCACCTAGGAGTGACTGGAAAGTGAGACCAGTCAAGGCGGGTCCGCCATAGCGATAGAACACATCCTGTCCTCTGGCGATCTGGTCCCAATCCACCCAATCCGGTACGGTGTGTACCTCGCGCCACAGTTCGGCAAGCTTAGGATCGGAGTTGTGATTTTCTTCAAGCAAGGCGTAAAGATCCCTCTTGGGTACCGGCAAAGGCTCTTTTTTCTCTTCTTCGGTGCCCGGAACTGATGATAGCGCGGCGCGGTTGCTATCGTTCCTTGGCAGAGCACCCTTGTGCGGTGGCGAGATGGCGTTCAAACGATCAAGACATTCCTCTGCTAGTACATCGTACGAAAACTTCATAGGCTTCATTTGCTCCGGTGTAAGATGTTCAGGCGTCCATTCGAATCGGTATCCCCAGCAGCTGATAGCGGTTAGTATGCGCCATCCATTGTCTTCCGCTTCTGGACGTACTCTTTAGTGTTGGCTGTTCGCCTCTGGAACACATTTGGCATAGCCATATTCAAGTAAATGAGAGAGAAATGCAGATGAACGACGTCGATACCGTCAAACACTCAGATATTCGACAAGAGATAATCATTACACGATGTACGGCGAAGATGGTCCGTCATATGATACCGAGGCCCTAGCGCGCATGGGTATGAGGGGATCCACTTCCATTTTTGCCGCGATCGCCCCGCGATCGATCTTGCCAGGAAACTGCCACGGGAGAGTTGACTGTCGAGATAGCGTGAAGATTGCAGGAGGCACTGACGCATGTTCGTTGATGTCACCACTCCGTCGCGTACTAGTGCGGAGCAGATTTCGAAGCCGCAAGAGCGAGCCGGTTCCGACGTAGCGTCACACCTAGTGCTAGGTTAAACAGAACGCACCCTTCATACCAACGAATGCTACAAGTACATTATTTGTGATAGCCACCGTGCCGCCGACATGCATCTTAGAACGTGAAGAGCGGGAGCCTCTCCACAACCCAATACGTATAATACAGTGCCGCGACTTGCTTTGACGGCGTCCCCAGCGTACTCCTGCTCACGATGGCCATGCCGAAATCACCGAACCAGAAGAGCCCGCAGCTGAGCAGGACCGCCGCAACACCAAATGTCGCACAATTCATGAACTTGGACATAATGCATATCAAGATGCCGACCAAGGTTTTCAATCCAGTCAAGCCAATCCACACAAGTAGAACAATAAAGATGGCAGTACCGAAAAGGCTTCCGACATCGCCATCGCCTTCTTCGACTGTGGAGTGGGTGTCAGTCTACTTTGCACACGGATGGAATCAGCGCAACTTACAGGGAAACTCGTAAAAGGCATATATGGAGAAGCACGACACCACTACGAGAGGGATCCCCCAAAAGGCTGTCGAATTACTCCAACCAGGATGTCCAACGCACATGCGATGTATGTGGATGATGTCTATCAGAGCATGTAGGACAATTTGCATTCCCGCAAGTATGAGCAGGGGACGGGAGCCCTTTGTGCGAGCCATCGTAACGCCAGAAAGGATGATCGAGATGAGCGATGAGATTGTGACCACCGCGATATTCCAGCGCTCTTTTTCCAAAGCCATCCACGGGAGCAAAGGTCTTCTGCCGAAGAAGTGACAGAGGATCACGTAGAAGGTTAGGCCATGGGACACTGCGCCGAGGACTCCATACGGTATGCCGTAAACTTCAATGTGCTCTCTGAGGTTCTTCGCGTCTGTGGTTACAAGGTCGCGTGGCTCGGGGCTCGACATGTGAAGATCGGTCGGGAATGCGTCTGCTGCGAATGTAAGATAGGCTCCGATGAGTGCCATAGTAAAGAGTTGGCGGTGTTTTATAGTCATCCTGGGAAAGCTCGACTGTTTGTTATCGAAGAAGAACGGTAAAAGCTCAGGATAGAATGGTTTGGAGATGACTGCTAGACAATGAGAGGAAGTAAGCACATATTTGAACTGCCATGGTGCTCTTTATGATATGCTGTATGAGATGGTCGCCGAATTGCCATCCCTCAATAGCACCACTTTCACCGAAGGCGCACCGCGACCTGCACAACGTTCTACATTTGGGGATGAAGTCAAGGACGTTGTAGCACACCGTTCACATTAGCGAAAGCCTTCCGTTGCTTGGGAGTAATTTCCGGCCAATGAAAAAAGCCATTCGAGTCAGCCGCAGTTTGCAGCCTTGTGACAGCTACCGTCACTTGCTCAGCAGCCGCTCGGTATGTCTACGGAGAATTTTTCAATTCTGTCTGTACATGGGGTAAAGCTGAAAACGGTTCGAATTGACGAGAGCTGGTCGCAGGAAGCGAGGTGTTGTCTTGGCTTTGGGGGCCGAAGCAGTACACCGACGAGGCTGTTGTTCGGTTCATGGGACCAGGGGAGACCGGAAGTTGCTTGAAGAAGTAGGGGTTCGAGGAATGTTAAGATTTATGTAGGATAATAAAACGGTAGAGCTTTATGAGTACGAGGAATGAAAGACAGGCTCAAGCTGTTCGTGTGATGCGCCAGGCAAGGAAGGACCGAAGGTACAAAGGGAAGAGATCATCGAGATTGTTGCATGAGCTCTTGCAGGCACTGCTATCATTGCCAAGCAGCAATGTTTGTATCCTTTTCCGACTTCCCAAAGATATCGGGTATGAGCCTTGAGGGTGTTGTCATGCGATAAGATGAGGCTCCTGCTCCGGGAGTAGCGGCGATGTGAGCGGATCTTTGTTCCAAGAAAATGCATAGAAACCTTTCATTCGGTAGTGTCGTCACCCTGCCGTATTGAAACATTCTGTTTACAAGTCTATGACTGTGATGTTAGTGTTAGAGTGCATGTTCAGTCGCCCGCCTGTGGCAAGAGGTGAAGGTCCGTGCGATAGCCTAAGGAACTTCGGAAGGAAAGCACTATCGATGCTCAAACACCAACAACCATGAGTTGCCACAACTGCGCCAGAACGACGCTGACCCTGTTCATCCGCTCCTTCGTAAACACCGAGCAAGTCCTCGCTGCTCGACGACTGCTACCCCGTCCGCAACAATCGCGGTTCTCGACCGATGCGCGCCGACTACGCAAAGTAGGGCCTATAAT